TTCATTGTTCCCAATCGATCCTAAAATTTACAATTTTAGGGAGATAGCGGCGGCCCTCTTTACGACGAGACAACCAACACTTTGATCGGTGTTGTTAGTAGCAAACGTTATGATTGGTGTGGAAATATAAGTAGATTCACGAGAGTTTCAGCCCACCTAGACTTTATCCATCAAGTTGTTGCTGACAAAATAGACAGTACTATTCTGTACTCGACACAATCACACAACTATGGATCGCAGTATCATAAATATACTGTGTGTGACATGGATTGAAAAAAACTTTTTTGAAGACTTACGATTACACCGATAAAAAAGTAAAAAGACCCGATTTTTCGCCCGATTTAGAGTTTCCAGTCGGTGAGATTTTAAATTCTTTCTGTGTCCTTAAAAATAAATTTCAACATTTCTAAAGTCTACGGATTTTTCTTATAAATCCAGAGTTGAATTTTTCAGATTACTCTTCAGATCGAATAAATTTTTAATATACAAAACTCTGATGTGTTATTGGGCTGGTTTGGATCTAAAACTGTAGAAATGACTAACAAAGTTTTGTTAGCTTGGTTTCCATGATACATTCATCTGTAACTCAATTGAATATAAAATTACTGACGAGAGTCGAAAATTATTTGTTACATAGCATTATTTAAAGAAAATCAGATAGCCGTGAATAAGCATGCCTGGCTCTCAATTTTTAGTAAATAAAAGTTTACTAGATAAAAAATTACAAAAATGCAAAACAATTTAATGTCTAAAAAGTTTATAATTGACAATAACGAGAATACAGTCAAAAACATGAAGGATATATGTACAAACACTTTGAATTCATCCGATTTGTGATAAATAAATTTTTTTCTTTTCTCCATTTTTGTAAAAAATCATAGCGCAGGAGGATTATAGAATTATATTAAGTGCATGATCGATGAACCAAGTGAATTTCTTTTTGCATTTGTCTAATTGATTCGAGTAGATCCTTCGTTTGAATGTTTTTTTACACCTATCGCATTCGAAGGTAATGGGTCTTATGATGCTTTTTGAGATGTCTATTGGTTGAAAACGTTGATTCGCACTAATCACGTGCCTGTAATTTGTACCACTTCAGATCGCATTGATAAGGGCTTCGTATCACATGTATCACATGCTTAAGTAGTAACAATATGCGCCAATCTAACGTGTTTTCAAAGATTGCTTTTAAATAAAAATGACTTTCCGCAAATATTGTATGTATGTTACAATATGTATGTGACACTATAAGTATTAGAAATTCATTTTTATATGCAAGCAACTTTTTCAAACAACTGATTACATGTTGAGCGTAACCCACTGTAGAGTATTAAAACTTTTATGATATATTCGTGGGTTACCTCAGTCGTAGAATTTGTTCAAATATTTAAGTTAAATTTTTTATCAGTAGTATCATTGGTATAAGACTGTTAAACAACGAAAATGCAGAGCAAATTATTTTTCAGCCTATTTTTGGGTCTCAAGTTAATTGTTCTGATAAATAGCAGTAAGTGTTTTATTATCCTCGTTTTAAATCACTCTTAATTCGACTTGTTTTTCAAACCTCGTTAGAGAAATTGCGCATAATCGAAGGCGAATATGCGTTGCCTGGACAATTCCCGCATCAAGTTTCAATACAAGCCATGACTCTGGATAATTGTACCGAACAAGTTTGCGGTGGCAGCATCATCGACGAATGGCACATCTTAACGGCAGCTCATTGCTTCACCGACAATATTACCCATCAATTCATCGATATGCCACTGACTGTAGTTGCTGGAACTGTAGATTTACTAAATCGTAGCTCTGCCTTGTATCACGATGTTCTTTATGTTCTCATTCCATTTTCTTTTTCGCTCAATGGTCCAGGAGATTTCAACCATGACATAGCAATTTTAAGGGTAAGTTAATGAAACATCGTATAATATTTCCAATTACGACATAATTTAATATTTTAATCTTATTTTTTGCTTTTCAACAATTTATCATTTATTTACTTTGTTAAAAATAGTTGAGAGACCCGTTACCCCTCGGTTCTCATCCATATTTGGGCGTTGTGAATTTACCTGCTTCCGATCAATACTTACCACCGGATAATCTAACTGCAATCGTGTCCGGATTCGGAGTTTATAATCAAACAGATCTACCGAATGGCGATATAATATCGGGAAATAAAAGTCCGTACTTGAAGTTTTTTTATGGAACCATTAATGTTCCTGATCCAGATGGTTGTCTCGATACACATGTATGTGTCGAATCACTGGGACTACAAAACGGTTATTTGGAAGGAGTGTGCTACGTAAGCCTATTATAACGAGATATACTTTTGTGAAAATAACATTTGAATGATAGTATGCAATTTATTGTTTCCGATCGCTCTCAACCCTTAAAATTTTAGGGAGATAGCGGCGGCCCTCTTTACGACGACATAACCAACACTGTGATTGGTATCGCTAGTTACTCACTTTATCCTTGGTGTGGAAATATTAGTAAATTTACGAGAGTTTCAGCCTACCTAGATTTTATTAATCGAGTTCTTGGAAGCAGAGTCGACAGCACTATTCTGTACTCGGGACAATCGCACAACTATGGAACGCAGTATCCGCAATATACTGTGTGTGACATGTAGTGAAATAGTTTTTTTGACAAGTCATACATTGTACTGAAGAAAAAGTGAAAAGGCCAGATTTTTTGACCTCATTCTGTCAGTTTTTTTGTATACTTAAATGATTGAGTTTTAAAATGATTACGGTCGGTGCACTGAGTCCTTGAATGAATTTCAACATTACAAAAGCGTGAAAGCATATTTTTATAAAATCAAAATTGAAATTCATAGTACTTATTAAAATCGAAGAAATTTTTGGTATAAAAAGCTTAGTTTTATTATTCAGTTTAAATTGGTATCACATAAAAAAAATTTGTTGTCATTTCTATAGCCTTCGATCTAAACGAGAAGTTTGGTCAGCTTGGGTTGCCCGTTAGGCAATGCCTGATACAGTCGTAGGTAGCTCAAAAGAATTTAAAATTGCTAAACAAACTTAAAAATTACTTTTATAGCACAGTGTGGTATAGGTTCACATTCATGGCACGCTTTTCTGTGGCATAAGTTGCACGTTCTAGCACTGCTGCGTTCGCATCACACTCGCACACGCTCGTGCGCTAACCTCACTTCGCGCTACCAGAAGTGCGACTCATGGCTCGGAAAAGGGGACATAAATGTGAACTTTGCACAGTATTATAAAATGTTGTTCGATACTCAGGCCATAGGGGACACTTTTCGGCCCAGCTATTAGGACCCTCGCTGTGCTCGGGCCCTAAACTACGCCGTGCCAAAAAGTGTTACTTATGGCCCTTGTATCGAACACTACTATTTTGCTTCTACGCTCGAATTAGATACTTTTTTGCCGCTGTGCTCGAGTTAGATACCTTTTTGCCTCTGCTCGCGAGTATCCTTCTTGCTACAGATTTGGAATAGATACCTTCCTGCGCTGGGGCTACGATATAATAAAATAGACATTGACAATATTTTTCAAACAATGTCGTCACAGAAAAAAATGAATAATGTAAAAATTAAAAGTATATGGGCTAAATCGCGTCAACTGTCCCCCCCTCTTTTTGTTTTGATTTTTCATATTTTATTCTGCTTTCCAAGAGTGAATATGAAAAAATGATTGAAACATGATTTTTTATGTAAAATTTGATGAGGAATTCAAGTTTGATGTCAAAAATCATATTCATAAACTCCAAGTACCTTAATTCCCCAAAAAACAGCTTCAGGAGCAAAAATAAACATGTTTGATCCAGCGATATGGCCAATATTGTAATATGTTTGTCGATACACCAAAATACAACTTCTAATAAATTTCGGTAGTTGGCAGACAAACAGAATTCATTATTGAACATGATATGAGTCAAGAATAGAGGAAATCTAGAGAAAAACCATGTTTTTTTGACACATAAGAAGGTCAATAATGAATTCTGATCGTCTGCCAACTACCATTTATCAGAATACAATTTATCAGAAGTTGTATTTTGGTGTATCAATGAACATATTACAATATTGGCCATATCGCTGGATACGAACATATTTATTTTTGCCCCTGAAGCTGTTTTTTGGGAATTAAAGTACTTGGAGTTTATAAATATGATTTTTGACATCAAATTTGAATTCCTCATCAAATTTTACATAAAAAATCTTGTTTAAATCATTTTTTCGTATTCACACTTTGAAAGCAGAATAAAATATGGAAAATTAAATTACAACTCTGATCCAGGGGGAAGAGGGGGGGACAGTTGACGCGATATAACCCATATACACGCGTCTGAAAGCTGCTACTTGTTTAAAGCATAAGGATGTCAAATCATGACGTCAAACATGTCCTAAGTTTTATAATACCATTTACCATGAGACGCCAAATCATGATGGTAAAAATCAGTTACCTTAAGATATGAAAAGGTCTAATAATCAGTATAATTTTTAATTGACTAGTAATTAACTTTCTTTTGAATTGTCAAAATTCAAAAGTGAAGCGCTTATTTGGATGCAGTTAAATACATTTATTTTTCGCATATTTATAAAAAAAAACTGGTTTTTTTATTACTCTTTTTATTTTTTTATTATTAAGTACGTAATAATTTGAAATAAATTCTCATACTTACTAATGTAAATTTCACCTATCATTTATGCATTGGTAGTGTCATCGGCTAGAGGCACGTAAAACTGCTGGTAATAAATAATTTAGTAAAGTGTAAGATAAAAATTAAAAATGTAACCTAATTATTATTACAAAAATAAAATGTTAATTCCATTTCTGCCACGTGTGACCATTATAATTGGGAAAAACTTTACTTCGTACGTGCCTTTAAATTTTATATGTGTCAACGTTAGCTGATGCAAAGTTTTAAAAAAATTTTATTCATTTTTCGTGCAATTAATAAATATGCAAGTTTTCGAGCATTCGAATTGATGTTTTAAAACAGTCACTGCATAGTAATGAGATCGGAATATCATAAGACATGAAGAAAAAATCTTATTTCAGTCTAATTATGGGCTTACAATTAGTTGTGCTGATTAATAGCAGTAAGTGTTGAACATTTCAAACTTTTTTTTTCCTACTCGTTACTTAAAAATTACTTATTTATCAAACGATTTTAGAAAGATTAAGAATAGTTGAAGGCGAATATGCATTACCTGGGCAATTTCCACATCAAGTTTCGATCCAAGCTATGACTCTTGATAATTGCACTCAACACGTTTGCGGTGGTAGTATAATCGACGAACGGCACATCTTAACGGCATCCCACTGCGTTACCGAAGAGCTTTTCCGCGAATTCCTCGATATACCGTGGACTATAGTCGCGGGAACAGTCGATTTAAAAGATCGCAGCTCAGGTGTGTATCGGGACGTCGAAACCATTTTCATACCAAATTCCTATATTTTCAATGACTACGGAGATTACAACGACGATATAGCCATTTTAAAAGTGAGTTACAAAAATTATATATTAACAATTAATAATTTATTAACAATTGACAATTGGTAAATTTATTCAACATAGCTGAGAGAAGCCTTACCTCTTGGCTTTCATGATTATTTGAATGCTGTTAATTTACCGGATTCTAATCAATATTTACCACCGGACAATCGAACAGCTGTCATATCCGGATTCGGAGCTTATAATCAAACCGCTCTTGCAAATGGCACTTTAGTTACGGGACCTATGAGTCAATTTTTACGATTCGTTCATGGTATGATAAATGTTGACAATCAGGAAGATTGCCTCGACTCAGAGATATGCGTCCGATCCCCGAGACATCAAGAAGGAGACTGCTATGTGAGTCAAACATAAAAAAATTTTTAAAATTAAAAAAATTTTGAATCAACCGATTGTGCATATTTAATTGTCACTTTTTAGGGCGACAGTGGCGGTCCTCTCTACGACGAAGACAACAATACCCTGATCGGCATCGTCAGTCACTCCGATCATGAATCTTGCGGAGACACATCGAAATATACGAGAGTTTCAGCTCATTTGGACTTTATTTATAACGTATTAACTGAAAACATTGATGACACTATTCTTTGGCACTGGCGATCGCACAAACATTCATTGGAATATCCAAAGCTGACTGTTTGTGACATATGATTAAATAGTATTAAAGCTGAAACCTTATATTTTTGCAACTATTTCTATTGGTTATAACGAGATAACGATGAAAGTGAAAGATGTTGATTCAAAATTGCGAAGAAATTAGAGTAGCTATATCTTAATTAAAACTATAAAAAAAAATTTGATACAATGACAAAGTAATTATTATTTGAATTTATTAAATATTTGATAAATTCAATCATTTACCAGCTTCGAGTAAATTAAATGTATTTAATCAAACTCTAGATTTATGAATAACAAAACATACATAACTGAATTAAGCACTTTTTTCGATTGATCTATTAATTAAAAGTTACAGAATTTAAAATGATCCAATCAATAATTCGAGACAAATAAATATACTTGGGTTCTTAAATCAGTTCAGCAAATTATTTGTACTTTCAAACTTACTCCTAGATGGTGCATCAAAAACTCGCGAGAGGCAAAAATGCTGCAAACTACTATATAAGGATCTTCGAGATAATTAATGCCTCACAATACCTACACTACCTATTGAAACTTTACTGTTTCATAAATACTCGCCAAATTGAAGGGAACCAACGTAAAATACGATATTTGCTCGCGCAAGTGTAGCTTCTCGCGAGGCGCAACGATAAGCTCGTCGTGATTTCAAATCGATTTTCACATAAGGTAAAAAATTTATTCCGCTTGCGTAGTGTTTCAAACGATTTTTATGAATTTTTCGTGTAATGTTCGCATTCGAATTGCGCTTTATTTTACGTTACCTGTTGCTACGTGTTAAATAAAATATTCAAGTCGAATTTGTGCCAAATCATAGCCAGTATTAAAATTCAACCAAAAATGTTCAACAAATTTTTTCCCCTCGTATTTTTGCTTTTTTATTTCATTGTCGCAATTGATAGCAGTGAGTTTTCATCTGTATATTAATCAATATATTTCATACGTTAAATTTGAATTTTTCGTACGTCAGAAAAATCGAGAATAGTCAACGGTGACTTTGCCTTACCGGGCCAATTTCCGCACCAAGTCTCGATTCAGTATGTCACCGCCGACGACTGCACCTATTTCGGCTGCGGCGGCAGCATCATGGACCAGTGGCACGTCATAACCGCCGCTCACTGCGTCACGGACAACGTCACGCACGAGATCCTCGACCTGCCCTGGACAGTAGTCGCCGGAACGGTGGACCTGAAGAATCGCGGAGTCGCCGTTTATCACGACGTTCACATGGTTTTCATACCAAAGTCATTTATGGACAATAGCCCGGGAGATTTGAATCACGATATAGCAGTTTTGAGGGTATATACGAATCGCAAAAGTGTAATCTATCGTTCGACGATCGACACTTTTTATCAATTTTATAGCTGAGACGTCCGTTACCGCTCGGCATCCATCCCTACTTAGGATCGATTCAATTACCCAGAGCAGATCAGTATTTACCACCGGAAAATCAGACGGTGGTCATGTCTGGATTCGGTACTTACTACCAATCTCGTCAACTGAATGGCGACGTAACGTCGGGCCCGATAAGTCAATTTCTACGTTTCGCGCAAGGAATCATAAACGTTCCGGATGCTTGGGGATGCGAAGACTTTGAAGTATGCGTCGAGTCATTGGGAAGGAGACAAGGTTATCTGCAAGGAACTTGCTACGTAGGTTTGATTCCGAACGTTCGATCAACGGTACTCGATGTAATTGAACGATTGTATTTTCAGGGTGACAGCGGCGGTCCACTTTACGACGAAAAGACCAACATTTTAATCGGAGTCATCAGTTACTTCAATTACGCGGCATGTGGAGACATAGCCAGATTTACAAGGGTGTCGGCTCATCTGCCTTTTATTGCTGACGTCATATTTAACAATTTCGATGTCACTGTATTATGGTGGAGGGAACTATTACATAATTTGGAAGGAATGTTTCCTCTTCTTGCTGTTTGCGACATTTAAAAAGCTATAAGTGAAAAACATAAATATATATTGAGAAAAATCTGACAGATACAAACTCATCAACTGGTTTAATTTTTTTATTGTACTTGAATGTTGTGAAAATTGATTTTATATATAATTTCTAAGTTCAATAAGATTGTCAACTATGCAAAATCATTTCAAATATTTAATCAATGTAAGTATTTATCATCCTTTGAATTTTTTATTTTAGATATAATGATCATTTCTATTACGAATGATTTCCCAAAATTATTTTCCAAAAACTCAGATGTTTCAGATGTGATTTCCTTTTTATTGATTTTTTGTAAATAATACTGAAATAAAATTGGATCAAAAAATTTAAAACTAAGAAAATTAGTTTATTAAAATTTCTATCAATGACATAAAAAATCTCCATAATTTAGTAAAATCAGACATACTAAGAGATACTACACATATTCTTATCATTATCATACAATTATGTACATTACAATTTTTAGCCTTTCCGGGTCTATTTTAGCCCTCGGGCGATTTTATCATCGACGATCGTGTCACAGCACAGCACCGCGTTGCAAAAGTACCACGGCCAGGCGCGGCATACGAGTCGCGGGTACATACTGCAGGGGAGTCCGATTCGTGTTGTCCTTTGCGTTGACGTCGACCCTCAGATTTTTCTCGTCGCAGATCCTGAGGAACAGCTCTAGGAAGTCGTCGTCCTTTCTTCTCTGGCAGATGAAGTGCAGAGCAGTCATTCCTTGCGCGTCGGCCTTGTTCGGATCGGCGCCGTTCTTCAGCAGCAGCTCGGTGACTCCTCTGCGATCCTCCTTCACGGCCAAGTTGAGCGGCAAGATATCCACCTTCGGCATGAAGCAATTGGGATCCTGTCCGGCCTCGAGGAACTTAGCGACGGCGTCGTCGCAGCCCCACGCGCACGCCGTGTGGAAGTGCGTGTTCACCTCGTAGTGGTAGTTCAACTCGAATTTGTCGTAAATCTTAAAGAGCTCGCGCATCATGGCGGCTTTGTTGTTGAACGGGTGCGGAGCGGCCCACAGTATCGCCGTGCAACGTCGCAGCACCGGCTTGCCGTCCTCGCCGACTTTCGGCTCTCTCTCGTCCGTGTAGCCGCTGTTGATCACGAACTGGAGGATTTTTTCTCTCTTGAACGAATTCCAGCGTCGACTCTTGTGCGTTATGCATTCCATGAGGAGAAAATTCATCTCGGCGTTGTGAAAGATGTGCCGGAAATTCGGAGGTGGGCCCAACCAATCTTTGATCAAGGAATAAAATTTTGGGATGAATTTGCTTCGATCCTCTGGATTCGCCCAATCGGTCCTAGCGTTTAAGCTCTTTAATTGCTCTAAGCTCGTGAGAGATCGCTCGGGGCGATTCGAGCTGCCGGGCGCACACATAATTGCTGCCGTACTGCACACTGACACACGAGCACGCGATCGATTATTATAGTCTCAATATTTTTTTTTCTTATTTTTCACGAGACTCACTTGCTGCGGCCGATACGATCTCTCTGCGACTGATCTGCCGTGTGTTATGGCGAATTATTAATTATACCAACTAAACGATACACAATGATCTGTATAGGTAAACATGCGCGCGATCTTATTGTGTCGTTTGAACGAGCGAATAGCTCCAGAATAACGAAATTTTGCTTCGCTTGAAAATGAAATTTTTCCCATATTCTGGGCCTTAGAAAGATATTGTACATACATAAATTGACGTACAGTTTAATGCCTTTTCAAAATCTGGCCTCAGATTTAAGATTCGATGCTTAGTTAAAAAGTTATGGTTGTTTAAACAAACAAAAAATTGTCAAAATTTTGGCAAAACATAGACTTTGAGAATATTATTCGAAGTGTTGCAGTGAAAAACTCTAAATTAAAAAATTTCTAAAGGTGATCATGAGTGTAGAAATAACTTAAAGAATTTTTACGGATGTTTATGCATATATAATCATGCGAGAAAATGCTGAAAGAATGTATAATGTCTCTACTCGAAAACAATTGAGTGAAAATTTAAAAAAAAAATAAAGTCTTAGAATTGATCGAGGAACATTCTGAAATTTTTTCAGAATTTTCGGAGACAATTTTCCAATTTCTGGAAAAATCGTGTTTTTCAATTTCCCAAAATCATCTCTGAAAATACTAATAAAAATTTAGAATTTACCTCGATCAATTTTAAGACTTTTTGTAGCATAAAATTTATTCGTAAAATTAATTGTTTTTGAGATAAAAAATTAGTTGTGTTATTTATAAATATTTTACTTCATGGCCGTCATTTTGTTAGAAAAAGTGGTTGGAAAAATATGTAAAAATTCCCCAAATCCCTTCTAGATTAATGATCTCATCTGATCATATTTAAATCTTGAGTTTTTTACCGCTACGCTTCGAAAAAAATTTTTCAAGTCGATGTTGTGCACAAATTTACGGTTTTTTCGTTTAAACAACGATAAATATTTAATTAAGCACCAAATCCTAAGTCTCTGCCCGAATTCCGAAAAAACATTAAATTTGACATCAAACTATGTATGTGCAAAGTCTTTCTAAGGCCCAAAAGATGATACAACTTACATTTTCAGACGAAGCAAAATTTCATCATTCTAGACGTTAATGGGACTTTTGAGGTTTAGGATTTAAATTTTATATTTTTTTTATGCCACTATGAAGACAAAAGAAGAAGCATTTTTTTTATCACCCTATCCTAAGGTAACATGTTGCCCTCGCTGCGGAAAGTATTACTTTAGGCTGAGATTCCCTAAAAATTCCATTTGCTCCTATGTAGTGAAAGTCTCCAACCCTGGTTTTCGCTTCGGGTTGACTGAGGAATTACACATGCTCTGAGACTTTTCATCTTTTCACTCCCTCAATGCAAAATATATATGCTATTTATTTATTGCTGAATTGAAAATGAGATATGAGATTGGAATTTTTTGTAATCTTTATGCTGTTGACGTCATAAAAAAATCTATAGCTTTTCATCTATTTATTTTCCGAGAGTATGACGTAAGATTCTGAAAGTTCTCTTGGTACCTTCAAAACGGCCTACAGAGGGCAAAAAATCGTTGAGAACTTTTTATTTTTAAATTACTCGTTGGAAAAAGTATTTTATGATGGCGTATGCTAGATTTTAATGAATAAATTACTGTAGTACTGGTAACATTCAATTTTTTTCAGTAATTTCTAGTGTTGCGCTTAAATACTACTGATAAACTTGATATCGACTCGAACCCAATCATAGCATTTAGGGCTTTAAAGAAAAAATTTTCAAAAAATCAAAATTATTGTCTGATCGATACGATCAAAATAGACAAAAATTTTGGTGAAATGAAAATTTTTGTTAAAATCATTCTGTTACGGAGGATATGATAGTGTCACATTATTAACAATATTATAATAAAATACTGAATTTGAAAAAATATAAATATGGGCTTTTTAAATTTAATTACGCATTAAGAGTAACTAGTATCGATTAAATTATTTTATAATTAGAATTACATCGTAATTATGACATTTCATTAGTCATTGAAAGGTGTTAAGCCGAAGGAAAAAATGAATAAAAAAACGCTTAAATATCTTCGAGCACCAAAATTATCTTGACTTTGCTCTATTTGATGGCAACTGCAATCTCTTTTCTTCTGGGACACCACGAGTCAGAACGAAAGAAATTAGTGTGTAGCTGTGACCGATAAAGAATCGTAGCTTTATAAAATCGACACATGAAAAAAGAGCTTCAGTCGTTGTACAAAGTTTGAAGCCTCAAGTGCGTGAACATCGAGGGAAATATTTTCCTCTGTTCGAGTGAATTTTAGTGCGATAATCAAGTATCAGTACAAGGTAAAGAAAAACCGAAAATACGCGTGTGTGTGTGCCTCAATTTATCATTTAAAAAATATAGCAAAATTGAGATAGATTTCAAGTTTGTGATTTAGTGTTAACAATTCATTGACATTTTATTTTGAAAGAAAGAGTAATCATACATGTTTTACGCATGAAATATTGAAAAAAATCGTACACAATTTTTGAGTGAGTCATCTGTTTCGCGCACTTGTTGTGTAAATTTTCAATTTCAAACAAACGAGTAGAAACAAATGACGGTTTAGAGGTGCACGTAAAATAAATAGTGTACGCACAGCTCAGTTAATAAAATCGAATAATTCGATTCTCACGTCGTTAAAATCATCGACTCGTTAGCATCTAACTCATTATGATTTTTACTTTCACCGATAAGCGATGTAATTGTTTTTTAATGCGAGCGCGCTAGATTATGCGTCGGTGGCATCTTCGAGTGACTTTCACTCAAACGTCTTTTTTTACGTATTTTTTCCATAACAATATTTATTTTTAAAAATGTAATCCAATGTTCAAGTTAACCCACGTTTTGAACATTTTCGAAGTTCCGAGTTTTTCAAGTTTTCATAGTTTGATAAATCTTTCAACGCGTTTAAATAAAATCATGTATTTATATCTAAAAGAAAAACCGTCCATAAATGTTATATTCATCGAGATATACCAAAAATATGCCAAGCCTTTTATCATTATTTTTTTTTGTTGAAAAATCGCCATGCACTTTAATCATAAAATAGATAAATAGCTTAGATTTTTATTCATAACATGTGGTGAAATTTGTAAGATGTAGTTTAGCTATTCTAGCCCCAGTTACAGCAAGAAAATTGGATACACGACTTACAATGTACTCGGAAATACACTTCGAATATTTTTTATGAAACCGGTATTCTAAATTATTATTCCTATCGCTTTACAGAACGCCTTATTTTCAGTCATTTTCGGTAGAACATTTCATTGTTATTTTTTCATTTTGCACCTGATACGTTCAAATATTAAAAAAGTAATAAGTTTTAACGTTACTCAAAATTAATCTTTGATTACACTTATGTATAAAAATGTTCACATTTCAAACTGTTCATTGAGTATGGCGCGACGATCGGTAAAGGCGATCGTCTGCATGACAGTTACAGTGAGCTCGCGAGACTTTTCTCAGTTTGACTCTTTTGGAAGATATAGCCTATTTGTTAGAATAATTTAGTTAGAATATAATTAGGGCGTACGAGTGTGTGTTTTGATAATTAAACCAACGAATTAATTTTGTTTTGGTATACATCAAGTTTGAGCGTTGCGTCATTTTACAACACGAGATTCGCGGTGTTTACGTACGTTTAGGTGCTGTAAAATCTCTTAGGCAATACGAAACCGTTACACAATCATAAACTAATGCTCGACTGTTTACAATTTTTCAGATGCTGGCGTGTTGGGCGTGCGGCACTACGACGAACGCCAGAGAGGACGCTTGGTCGCTGCCCGTGCTCTATTGTCCCCCGTGCTACAACCACTTCTGGGATCTCGCGGTCGAAGCCGACAACAAGATCGAACGAAAACCCGTGCCACGCCCGAGAACGAGAATGTCGACGCGGAAGCCAATGATCGACGACGAAGGACCGACTCTCGGAGCGAGCTCACCCAAGCCCGCGAAGCGTCGGAAGCGAGTCACCTTTGTCGAGCCGAGTAGTTCCTCCGAGCCTAAGTTGGATGTCGAACACATAAGAAAAATCGCCGTGCAACTGGATCAGTTGACGAGGACGGCCTATAGCTACAGATTCAAACTTCAACGTAGGTACCGAAAGCTGCTGAAACTCCAAGAACGGGGCAGAGCTTCCGACGCTTCGTCGTTTCTCGCCCTCGATATGTTGATGGCGAAGAATAAGCACGGTATGAAGTTGATCGAAGATTCGTTCAAGGTGACGCAGGAACTCCTCGATAGGGTCGAAAGAGGCAGGGCGACCATCTACGATTACGGCATCATGAAAAAAGAATTGGTGAAAATAAAATATGACTTGCTGGAGACGCAGCGTCTCGTAAATGAGGTAAAAAATGAAATAAAGCCCTTTAGAGTGGAGCAAAAAATACTTCGTTACTTGGATTTAAAACGTCGTTCGTAGGTAAAGCAGTTTAGCGAGGAGATGGAAGCAGAGACACCGACGACAAAAGCAAAAGTCAAGGAGCAGGCCAAAGCCACGACCGAAAGGACTGTGACTCCGGATCTCTGTCCGGAGGATCCACCAGAGATGAAAAGGGAGCACGAAACTTCCACCGCGGCGGAGAAGAAGAAACAGCTCGTGGAATCCCACCGTGAAATCCTGAAAAAATTGAAACATTTGAGCGCATTGAACAAGGAGAGAGAGGAACTGGAGATGCAGATACAATTGCGCGACCTCTTCCGATTGATCGACGAAAACCAGAGTGTCTTGGAGCAGTTCATGGACGCGGAAGATTTCCAGCGTTTGGAGAAGAAATGGCTGGAAAAATTCAGAAAGATTTGCGCTGCCAACGACTTGGGAGTACCGAGCCGCTGGGGTGACGAGGGGACGGAGGAGGATATCGCGAGGAGAGCGTGGCAAAAACAGACGGAGAAATTTTTAGAAAACGTCGAAAGATCGAAGTACAGCACCAGCAGCGACAGCAGCGACAGCAGTAAAAAGTCCCTTGGCGATGTGAGAGAGGAGGAACGGGTACACCGATCGGTCCAGGACGACAAAGGCATCAGCCAAGAGGAGAAGATCGAGAGAATGGAGAGAGACTTGGAGACGGCGGAGCAGCTCATGAGGATCTTGAGAGAACTCGAGAAGCTCGACGTCGCCAACAGCACCGAGAGAAACGACGAAATTTTGAGAGAGACGCGGCGGAGACTCGCAGCGAAGGACTTGATCGAACGCCTAGAGGGCATGAAAATCGACGAAGATCGGACCTGTAGTAGCAGTTACCAGATGCCCGAGACGCCCGAGAGCCTCTGTCAAAGCGACGATTCCTGCGGCAACGACAAGGAACGACCGTCATCGGCGGAGCCCGAGAGATCAAGCGATTCTCTCGCGAATCTCTCGGTACTCGTGGGCCGCATCGGGCAGGAGAACATCGCGATGGACAGGATCGAGTCGCGCATGGGATATTATTAATAACTCTTTAATCGATTTTAGCTGTGTAATTTAATTCTAAGTTTTTTATGTAAATAAATGTTCGTTTCGTACTTGAATAAACTAAAATGTTTGTTCTTAGCCACAATCTTAACTTCAAAATCTCGAAGCCCCTCCTGCCTGCATCATCGAGTTTATTTAAGTGTGTTGATATCGACACTTGCAGTTTTAGAGATGTTAGTATCTCGCCATCTAGTGGTCAAGGCGTAATATTATGATATATAAATTGGTTGAAAACTAGTCTACATTTTTTTAAAATAATTAAGTCAATATTTGCAACACAATTGAAGCAAAAAAAATTCACCGAAAACAAGCTAAATTACTTCAAGCCATTATTTACATTTAGCTTTTCTACTACGACGTTGCTTGATTTATAACATTGAATTTTCTTTCTTCTGCTCCATGCGATCGATCGTTAAAACAAAATTCTCTCCTTCGATGCTAAGCTGCCAGTCGCATTCCTCAATGAAAGTACACATACAATGCGCGCGAATATAGGAGGAAAAACATCGCGAGCTGCACACGCAGATATCTAGAACGCCTGTATCATAAAATATGTGAAAAAAAAAGAAGAATCTCTCGCAGCTGAGCGATCGTGTCAGCAGAAAAACGAGATATGCATAATATTACACACAAAACGGATTTCGAATCGCGTCCGGTTTTCGATAAGAGTAAATGTAATGTCTGCGTGCATGTGTACGTGTATTATACATTTCTTCAGTCATCGTTTGCAACTCCGAGCGCGAAGTTACTATACATCTAATATCTCGAGATATAGCTTTTAGCTATACGGCCCACACGATGGTGAGAGTACGTTTGGCGCTTGTACTCGCGTTCCTCGTCTCGGCTACCGTCTGTCACGTTGGTGCAATTATTATATACGTTTATCGTTAATTTTTTTTTTTTGGTGTCGTATTGTAGTTTATCGTGAATTATTTCATTTTGCAGAACATCACGCTGACGAACGATCAGCTGGACACTTACATCAAGACTTGCTTGACGAAAACGAGAATTAGTCAAGGTAATTTTGGATATCATCGCTATGCAAAGAAACTTTTATAGGAAAGATTACTATATTTTATAGTAAAAGAGTGACATCTTTGCCTCATGAAAAAATTTACTATTATTAACGTAATTTTTACTATATTTCTAAACAATTTTGATAAATTTTATGGTTAATTTTTTGATAAGTCAAAGATGTCATACTTTTACTATAAATTTAGTAATTTTTTCGCTATGTAATTGCAGCTTTCTACAAGAGCGACGACGAAAACCTCAAGCGCCTGAGCGAGCGTCAAAAGTCCTGCTTTCTCGCCTGCATGTTCAAAAAAAGCGGAATCGTAAGTCACTATATTTATTGTTATTAGTAAATTTTAGCTTCTCTCTCGCAGTATATACAATAACGATTCAATTTGCCGCAGATAAGCGACGATGGCACCGTAAGCTCGGTGACGGACGATCAGGAGGACAGCGCGACCAACAAGGCGATCAAGCGCTGCACCAAACGCGGTACGTATATTTACTGCGAGAACATCACAATGACATAAATTTCGCTTTCGTACTTATCTCTCTCCTTCGCCTCTTCTCCGCAGCCAAGGGTGACATCTGCAGGCTGGCCTGGTGTCTGCGCAAACTGGAAAAGTTCAGCTTACCGATCATCGTGCAGAAGCCCCGCATAGTGCAGTACTGAGTCGACGTTGATGTAGCATACAATAATATACGTATTATAGACGCGCGCGACGATATATGTAAATATACATGAATACTAAACTATAGTGGCCATAAGACGCGAGTTCGATCGTACTTCAGTGAAGATGAATCTCGTTATCAGTGTGTAAACACGCTCCACCACGAGCCCGCGCACTCGAGCTATCGGCCGAGTTCCAGCGGATGTATCAATAATAAATTTCACAAACATAAACGTACAATTACTCAAAAAAAAAAAAAAAAAAAACACGAATTTCTTTACACTCGTTCCCTCTCTTCCTATCCGCACTTGACGCGCGCGAAAGAGATGTCGAAATATAATGTCCCGCGTATACGAGAGAAATGATTTATGCAACATCTCTACTATACACGCACACAGATAGACAGACGGACAATGTGTGCATTTCGCGCGTCAAAAAGCGCGCAATGAATCGCGCGCGTCGTATACCAACCCCTCGGCTCAATAAAAAAGGCATAATCACAAATCAAGTGCGTGCGTGTGTACGGCCGCAGAGAGAGAGATTGCGAGAGAGAGAGCACATGTATAGTGTGTACAATGTATAGACGTACACATCTAGCGTCAAAATAAAGCAAAACGCAACAAGCTTCATTCATTCATTCAGACGACGTCGACGACGACGACGATGATCAACGAAGCAATAATCTCTCGCTCTCTCTCTCTCTCTCTTTCCTCAAAAAAGGGAACGGAATAAAAAAAAAATCATACGTTCCGATCGAGCGAGCAAGAATATACGTATAGGTGCTCTCTCTCGCGGTGGCGAGAATAGAAAAAAAAACGAGAGCAATGTGTATATAAACGCACGCGAGCGACGAGTCGAAGCGGGGGGGGAGTTTAGCTTCTCTGCGTCGGAACAGTGGCTCGAGTGCAATTACCGGGGCTTTTGAGTGACAGATGCTCTCTTGCTCTCTCCCGCTCGGCCTCGAAGATTAAAACAAGTAATCAAAACCCTATGGACTTGTGCCGATGGGTCGCGATGACGCGCGCTTCGCGCCTTACGGGACCTCATACTTTATGTTATATATACACTTGTATCGTGCGTGCGTGCGTGTGTATGGTATTTCGATTCGTGACGTTGCCACAGACGACACTGATAGATGTGCATCAAGTTTACCGAGCTTTGTGTACTTATATGGCACGCGTAAAAGGCCGTAATCGTCTTTACACGCAACTGATTTGGTCCAAAAATGAAATTGTTTACTTTAAAACCGCTCGCCGTTTAAGGGCTAAAAGGGAGCTTAAAATCGAAAAAAATTTTATTCCATTTTCGAGTAGGATTTTTTGTCCCCTTTCCATTGCATTTTTTAAGACTTCAAAATTTTGATCATTCAGTGAAAAACAGCTGTTTCCGTGAGTCATTTTCGTATATTTTGTGTGTAAAAATTTTTCTTTTGCGTTTTGTGGCGTTTTACGTTTTTACAAAGTTCACCTCAGTTGTCGTAACTTTTAGAGGGTAACGATTGAGTTACAGCACCAAGGTCGCATACACTTCTTCAGAAGATCAATGGTAATGGTCACAACCTCGGGCGAGGTGATCGAACTCATAGGTCACTTTCAATCAGTAAATTCATGAAGGAGGTCACAAAAAAAACGTAAAATAAAAAAAAAATTATGCTTCAGTGTTTGTGCAGGGTGACGTAGCGCTCCAGAATCGAATTACGGGTGTCAATTTTCTGCCATGTACATTCTAAGTATTCCTATGATATCGAGTTATTTTTGTAATTCAAAAATCTTTATTAGACATTATAAAAATTGCTATATTCCACAGTGAAAATTGACTTGTAGCGAATTTTACTATACTAGACGTTTAAGACGCACGTATCAATTTTTTTATTTGGGTTTTGAGGTTAGTTTAAGATTCAGAAATAGTTCAGAAATAGTACGTTTCAAACGCGCTTCGCGCGCGTCAATTTTTTCATTCGAATTTTGAGGTTACTCAAGTACTAACTGTCTGTTGACAGTTAGCAGCACAGGCACTCGTATAGAGTCGGGCGTCGTCGTCAGTGTCAGCCAATCAGAGGTCGTTTTACGCGGCTTCGCTTTTCGGCCGTTCTCTTTTTTATAAGTAGAAGATATTTGGAGAAAGTGTGAGAATTTATATTTCAAAAAATATTTTGTATTTGAATCAGTTTTATCATAACCAAAGCTTTTCGATTTCATCAACAGATGGAGTATGGTCAATTCCCACAAGAGGCAAAAAAATTCTCGATGGTATGTATGGACTATATCGCGTCAACTGTGTCAATTGTGTTTGTAGTAAAAACAAATCGGTTTAAATGTTGTCTTTCCCGACGAAACAAGACATAACACCAGAAGATCAATTTTATTCATTGATTTTCTGTCACACTTAATAGAAGGATCCATGGTTTAATTCAGACACCAAAATGGATTTTATAGCACTGTGCTAAGTTCACATTTATGCCCCCTTTTCCGATACATAAGTCGCACTTTCTGGTAACGCGAAGTGAAGTTAGCGCACGAGCGTATGCTAAACCATGACTTACATTAGGAAAAATACTTGTTAAGAAATAAAAAGAGGACAATTGATTTTAATTGATACATTTATTCATATCTAAACTGACATTGTGAATAAATTTCTTATACAGTGAAACCTGTTTAATTCGAACCTTTTTATTTCGAAAACCTGGTTAATTCGAAGAATTATGTATATCGTTCTCCATAACCGGAAGCAAAGACTTTTCCGAGAGGTATTCAGTTTAAAAAGCCGGAGAAAAAAATATCGATCAATCAATCGTACTTTTCTGTACAGATAATCATGCTTACTCGTCGAAAAGTAAAAATAATAACTAATCGATTGTAACGCTTCGCTTCTTTGTGTCAATTATTCAATTTTTTTTTTTAATTTGAGAACACATGGTAAAACAGTTAGTCATTAGAATAATTAATTATTATAATTTCCAATTGATAAATTTAAAGGTTGATGTGAAATTAATTATTATTTTATTTAATTCTTTTATTTAATAAAATTAAAGTATTAAGCGTTACAATCGATTAGATTTTACTTTCACTTTTCGACGAGTAAGCTATATCTGTACAGAAAAGTACGATTGATTCATCGATATTTTCTTCTCCGGCTTTTTAAACTGAATACCTCTAGGAAAAGCCTTCGCTTCCGATAATTGAGAACAATTAGCCATTCATTTAACAAAATGTCAGTTTAGATAGAATAGTCAGTCAATAAATGTATTAATTAAAATCAATTGTCTTATTTTTGGTTCTTTTCTTCTATAAAAATGCTTTTAATCTGCTACTATGATTTGAAAATAATACCAAGTATTCTTACTAATGTAAGTCATGGTTTAGAGGTAACGAACATTTTCATTTTTCTACAGATAAATTAAGGAACGCGCCTCAGTATGCTGTAAAAATGTGAATAAAATTTTCTCGATCATACGTAAGCTCGAATTCGCTTTATACTTGTCGAATGATCGCAGAATTGCGTTTGCGCAAAGAGAAACTGTACAGCAATGCATGTTTACTTCTCTGAAACTCTAATAAATTATAAGTCGACTTGGTTGTATTTAATAAATTTTGAATGATATCATAGATATCGGTCGTTTAAAATTCAATAATAAATCAGCGCTAACAAAAGTTTTCAAACAATCGGGGGTTCAACATTAATTATCATAATGTTTTTAATACTCATAATTTAACTCATAATTTAAAAGTTGATGTAGAAAAGCCGATTCCCAAATATACTGACATATCCTCAAACTAACATCATGAACCTTGATATCGAAGATAGACGTACCATCAATAGGAAACACGAAGGAAAATGTATTTCATGTAGCTAAAATTGTAAAGTTGAACAGTTAAATCTACACTCTAAACCTAAAAGAGTAATTTTCAAACCTCGAAAGAGAAAACTGCGTTATGTATTCTTTAAAAAAAAAAATAAATGACGTTGTTTACTGATTTCACTTTAACGCTAGAAGTTAAAAGGGTAAAGTGAAAGGAATAAATGGCATCATTTACTAATGCAATTAAATAATTGGGCTACATTATGAAAAAATTTAAATGATGTTTTTTTGTTATTTTCCAAGATAACTTTTTACACGCTTAATCGAATAGATGCACATACATTTTTTTGGAAATGAATTTAAAATACAATCAATTAAAAACGAAGCAAAGCAATTCAATATTTTTTAAATTTATTTATTCAAAGCATATGGAAAATCTACAATATTAAATATCATATATAAAAAAAATAATAATAAAAAAAAAATCCGAATCAGTTCAGCTCGATGATGGTTTTACAGCGCAATTCTCGAGAAATATCTTCGCCAAGTCCTCGTCCCTTATAATATCCTTGGGAACTACTCCATCCGCGTCGGGCAAGCTCGAATCGGCGCCATTCTTAAGCAGCAACGGGACCATAAATCTGTTTCCGGTCTTCAGAGCCAAGTGCAGCGGTGCGTTGCCCTCCTTATCCCGAGCATTGACTTGCACTGGCTTGTATTTTTCGTGGCAGAGCGAGAATATCATCTTCGCCAAGAACCAATCGTAGCTCGGATGAATGGAGTTGGCCCAGGATTCTGGAGGTTTCTTGCAAACGACGTGCAGCGGAGTCCTACCCTCGGCATCGGCCAAATTCGGATTAGCGCCGCGTTTCAGCAGTAACCTAAACAATTGTCTGCGTTGTACAATCGTTTTAGAAATATACTTTGCCTCCAACGCCAAGTGCAGCGTCGAGTAGCCCTTGCTCGTCCAGACGCCATTGGGATCCGCGCCGTGATCCAAGAATTCCTTGACGATTTTTTCACGGCCAAACTTACAGGCCACGTGGAGATGCGTCAGTCCGTCTTCATCGGTGTAATTTACATCGAAGCGATCGTAAATGGTGAAAAGATTATCGATGACGTCGATGCTGGTACTTTGCTTTTCAATTTCGACGATCTGTTTCTCGCATCCGACAGCATGATGCAACGGAGTGGTGCAACGTGTCACTGGCATACCGTTCTCATCCACGTCGGGCTGGTCTTTGTAGTCTCCATGAGTCATGAGCTTATAGATTATGCTGGGCCTTTTTATGCAGTCCCCGAGAATATAGTCAAACTCCTTCTTTTCAAAGATGAATTGGAGACCATCGATGTACCGCCTCTTGTTCCGATCAAACAGTCCGAGTAAATTACCATAAAAATAATTTCGCTCCTCTTCGATATCCCAATTGACATTTTTACGCAGCTCCCGCAATTCTTTCAAGACGTACCTTAATCCCTCGTCGTCCTTTGGAGGGATGTATGTGATTGGAATTGTATCCTCGCAATAAAACAACTCTTCTGACCAGGCTATTTTCTCCATATTCATTTTCTCCATATCCATTTTCTCCATATCCATTTTTCTATATCCACTTGCACACACACAAACACAGTCGCTATAAATGATGTAAAATTTTCGGTCTTAGCTGTTCACGTTGCGACGTCTTAACCTGTACTGTACTGCGACTATTCACGAACTGGGATGGATTTAATATGAAAGTAAAAAAACAAGTGCTCGAGAGCTATATGTGATACACTAGATACGTGTGTTGTAGACGGGCACGAATGCACGACTGAGAGAGAAAGAGAAAGTCACGATGCGACTGAGTCTAGGCAGTTGATTGAATTATGCGCGCGTCGATCGTCAAATATTGCAACTCCAAAAATGGAGCGTAAACTTGAATGATGCACGGGAAAAATTCAATTTGTTCGTTTTTAAATAATTTTTTAATAATAAAATAATAATTGTTAATTCATATAAACTTCCATAAAAATTGTAAAATTATTCTTAAAAACTAAGAAATAATTATTGACCAAAGAATTATTAGAAGTAGATTTAAAAAATTGACTCAGCACGTAAAAGTCATACATGCAGAAGTGTGCGGTTGCCTATGTTACAGTCTACGATGTAACCTTTTTCAATGAAAAAGAAATTAATAAAACTGCGAGAAGCAGCTACGCACGCAGCAGCTACGGTTACGCACGAATTACAATTTAATATATCTCACACATTTTCTATGCATAACTCCGATGACACACACGGCAATTAAAAAGTAACATCATTGCGGACACGCGCAGCCAGCGTGTACAATGCCGAATTGAGCGGCCTAAAACCGTCACCTATTTATGAGGTCTCTGTTAAATTAAACGTTTGTAAAACTCTTGCGAAAATACGATTCGCAAGACAAAGAAATGTACAAGCGCTGCCGCGAGATGAATGAATGTCCTAGAAAACCTATAAAACTGCGGTGGCCGCGGCTCCACCGATTTCGGGAAGAGCGTGGCCCTAGGGTTTTTTAAGGTACACGCGCATGCAAGATATGTGTGAATTATTGACACATATCGAGCCGACTACGTACGCTGCACCACTAGGGCGGGCGCAAATTTAGTCGTATATAAGCTACAGTAAAAGAGGATCAGTCCTCCTTCATATATGGTGCATTATTTCAAAAGTGTGATATTTGGAGTGGGTAAAATGGGCAATATTGGAAAAATTGAAAAAATTATTTTCTTCTATTTTGAGTTTAATTTTTCCGGACCCCCGTAGTTTCTGACCCTTGATTCTTTGTTTTTTCATGGAATATTTACTTTTTACCGGCCATCATCTAATCCATTTATTTTCTTATTGCAAACATGAGAATTTGTCACGGAGGGGACACTCACGGAGGGGACAAATCGCACCTTTATCAAATTTCACAACGACAACAAAGTTGAAAATTTTTTTTCCGATCCTGCACAAAAATTGTTTGTAAAAACGAACGTTTTTACGCCACCAGATTCAAAAATAAAAATTGCTAGCTCAAAAACTCGTCGATCACGGAGGGGACACTTTATTTTACTAGAACGATTTTCGTGTGCAAGTATTGTTATAGCGAAGCTGCAACTAAGATTTGAATATTCTACGAATCGAGTACCTTCGTTCTGAAAAACGACCCTCGTACAGTTAGAGAGGTCAAAATTATTGTCGAGCACGTTTACTGGCACTATATTTGTAATGATGTAAAATTTTACATAATTGAAGGACACATTTGTTACTTATGTACAATTGTTTTGAAACTATTTAAGATGACGAGTGATGCAAAAAAACTTTCTTTAGGATGTATAAAATAAGGCCCATGTACCTCAATATTGCTGGATATTTGTAAAAATATTTTTAATGAGTGAAAACAATCGATTCTGAGTCCATTTTTGGAGTTGCAGTGTGACGATCGACGCGCGCATAATCCAATCAACTGCCTAGACTCAGTCGCATCGTGACTTTCTCTTTCTCTCTCAGTCGTGCATTCGTGCCTGTCTACGACACACGTATCTAGTGTATCACATACAGCTCTCGAGCACTTGTTTTTTCACTTTCATATTAAATCCATCCCAGTTCGTGAATAGTCGCAGTACAGTACAGGTTAAGACGTCGCAACGTGAACAGCTAAGACCGAAAATTTTACATCATTTATAGCGACTGTGTTTGTGTGTGTGCAAGTGGATATAGAAAAATGGCCCATTCGGAAGAGTTGAAATATAGCGAGAATACAATTCCATACAAAAACATCCCTTCGAGGAACCACAAGGAATGTTGCGTCCGCTGTAAAGTTTTCTCCATGTACAATCGCTTCGATGTAAATTACATCGCCAATAACGGAATGACGCATCTCCACGTGGCCTGCCACTTGGGCCGTGTAGACATCGTCAGAAAATGTTTGATTCGCGGTGCGGATCCCAATATCGTCTCGACCATAAAGGGCTACTCGACGCTGCACTTCTTGTTGACGGCAAAGTGTAACTCTAAAACGACTTTACAACGCAGACAATTGTTTAGTTTACTGATGAAAAGCGGCGCTAATCCAAATTTAACCGATGACAAAGGTAGGACTCCGCTGCACGTCGTTTGCAAGAAACCTGCAAAATCCCCGGTGAACTCCATTCATCCGAGCTCCGATTGGTTCTTGGCGAAGATGATATTCTCGCTCTGCCACGAAAAATACAAGCCAGTGCAAGTCAATGCTCGCGATAGGGAGGGCAACACACCGCTGCACTTGGCTCTAAAGACAGGAAATAGAATTATGGTCCCATGGCTGCTGAAGAATGGCGCCGATTCGAGCTTGCCCGACCCGGATGGAGTAGTTCCCAAGGATATTATAAGGGACGAGGACTTGGCGAAGATATTTCTCGAGAAATGCGCTGTAAAACCATCATCGAGCTGAGCTGATTCGGACTTTTTTTTATTTTATGATTTATCAAATATTGTAGATTTTTCATATGCTTTAAATAAATAAATTTAAAAAATATTGAATTGCTTTGCTTCGTTTTTAATTGATTGTATTTTAAATTTATTTCCAAAAAAATGTATATATGCATCGACCTCGATCCGCCTCCCGAGCGAGTTGCAGACCGCGAAGAACGACTCCACCGCGGCGTAGTCGTCGTCGTCGTTGGCCAGATTCGGATCGGCGCCGTTCTTCAGCAGAATATCGACCAGACCCCGGCAGCCCACCCTCAGAGCGTAGTGCAACGGGCCCCAACCCGCCCTGTCCCGAGCGTCGACTTGCGCTCTCCGTCCCATCAGCTCGTCGATCTCGAAGAACAGCTCCATCAGCTCGTCGTACCTGTAGCTGTCCAAATAGCCCCACTCGTTCGCCATGCAGATGGCGTGCAACGTTCGGATGGGCGCCTCCCCGCAGCGGCGCCTCGACCAGCTCCTTCCTGTTGGCCTTGGTACAGTGGGGGATCGACCTCCCGGTACTCGCGACAATCGGGCTCTTGGCCGGGGAGGCGAGAAATTTCCCGACGGCGTTCGCGCAGCCCTGCCGGCAGGCCACGTGAAACTGTGTCTCGCCCAGCTTGTCGACGTGGTTCGCCCCGAACTTGTCGTAAATTTTAAAGAGCTTACTGATGACGTCGTCTAAATTACCTTCGTCGAAGTTATTATGATCGTTGTTGCATCTAGTCGCTCAGTGTATCGGCGTGGTGCGACTCAATCGCGGCTCGCTGGCGTCTTCACTCGAGTCGGGCTCGTCTCTGTAGCCGAGCTACGAACTCGACGAGTCGTTTTCGACGACGGAATCACAAGCACGTCAAGTTGTTGGTCACCGCTTGGGTGAGAAGCCAATCGATCTCCTCGTGACTGAAGTATTCTCGGAGATCCGGCAATTCGCCGATCGGCCAGTTTTCGATCAACGTATCGAGCTGCGCGAGATGTTCGTTGATGATCGCTTCGGTTTGCAAATCGGCGTTTGTAACCCGACAATTTTTCAATTCCCTGCACAAACCGTCGAACCGTCGAAGACGTTGAATTTTCTCGGCCATCGTGTCCTCCTCGCTCGTCGTCGTTTTCTCTTTCGGCGTAATTCTCAATTTCTCTATGATGTTGCCTATCTCGTCGTCACGCGGCACGAGGCTGTCACTGTCGCGACCGATCGACGAACAATCACGAACGTGTCTCGCACGAATGTTTATATAATATACACAAATTCACGCGCGAAACTCACGTTGACGGTTGCAACATTAAAACTAACGTACAATTATGAAATATATATCTAACACGTTGTACAAAGTTAATAATTTTCACTTTTAATAACTTACGCTGCGGTAACTTGTCTCGACTGCACTACGCGCGCACTACGATCTAAACACGTGTGAGCGAGGGGTTGCAAACGAAGTAGCGAGATGCAGTGTACGTGGCTATATTGCGCGTGTGAGAGAGAGAGAGAGTGAGACTGGAAACTACTTTCTCCTGTATAACTCAAATAATTTTCGCAGTTACCATGCCAAGGAAAATTTTCTCTTTAACCTTTCAACGCCCGCAATCGCTATGATTTTTCGATCTTACGTAAACATAGATGAAGTTCACACTTTTTGACACAAAATTCATTTTTAAGAATAATATATTTATTTTAACTAGAGTTAAATCGAAAAAGCATGATTTGAAAAAAAATAATATCTGTCTAAGTATCTATACATATTCACACTTGTCCAACATCATTGTTTCTCGCCATTGTGGCATGCTTAATTTTTGCAATCTTTGTGTACTATTTTTTGGTGTTCTATTAAATTTCTAGAATTACCAAATTTTTTCTCGCCCCTGTCGCATAAGTGATTTTTTGTACCTTTATGAAATGTTTCTATGTGCATGAGCAAATTCCTTTTACATCCGAATTTCTTGCCGCAATGGTCACATGCGAAATCTTTGCGACCCTCGTGGACTGTCTTTTGGTGGTAAAGCAAATTCGATTTTTTTGCAAATTTTTTTTCGCACTTGTCGCACGCGAAATCTTTGCGACCTTCATGGATTGTTTTTTGATGTCTTCTCAAATTGCCTTTATCCCCAAATTTCTTATCACAATTGTCACATACATAATCTTTACGACCTTCATGTACTGTTCTTTGGTGTTTTAACAAATCAGATGCTTTTCCAAATTTCTTCTCACAACTGTTGCATGAAAAATCTTTGCGACCTTCGTGGGCTATCCTTTGGTGGGAGAGCAAACTCGTTTTTTGTGTAAATTTTTTTCCGCACTGGTCACATGCGTAATCTTTTCGACCATCATGGACTATTGTTATGTGCAAATGCAAACTCCGTTTACCTTCAAATTTCTTCCCGCAAATGTTACATAAGTAGTTTTTGAAAACTTCGTGGAATATTATTTTGTGCTTGAGTAAAGCTGATTTATTTTCAAATTTTCTCTCGCACTTCTTACATGAGAAAACTATGCGATTTTTGTGTACTAATTTTTGGTGCGTAAACAAGCCCGATTTTTTTACAAATTTTTTTTCGCACTTGTCGCATTCATAATCATTCTCTTTATTGTGATATGTGTCTCGGTGTGTTATCATGCTTATTTCTAGTGTAAATACCTTCTGGCAAATATCACATGCGTATTTTCTGTCGTCGGAAACAACAATGTCATGTTCATTTGAATTATTTTCCGTGATAAATTCTTTGGATTTCTTCTCGCGTATATCCATTTGAGTGTCGGAATTAAACAACGGATCTTTCTTTTTAGTGCTACGAAAATTGATTGAATAAATCTAATCTTTTCGTATTATGGCTTGTTTTGTCGATAAAGACAAAATCTAAACTAATTTATTTTCACAATGAATACGATCACTGATCAGTGCTTCAAGGGGCAATGTCAAAATTGTTAATGATCATATTATTATAATTAAATTACCGACTTATCTGTTTACACATTTTTCTTACTTCATTTAAAAATTTTTAAATTCTAACTTGGAGACGATTCCATCACGAAAGTTTGTTGTAAATATTATGCTAAAATTTATAAGAATTTTTTAAATAATTTTGAAAAGCTTTAAAAATGATCAAATTATTGGAAAAAATTTCAATGCATGATTTTTATTTATTTATTGAAATTGTTCGAAGAATAGGGTGGCGGCACCAGTGAATGAATGGATTCACAAAATTATGCTTATAATCAATTGATTTAAAATCTAAATTTGCATTAATCCCTAGCGTGCATTCAAATTTGTGTTCGTTAGGACTTATTTCATGAATAAAAAAATTGAAATACATGAAAAATAATATTTCATAAAGTTATAAATGATATAACTCAATAAAATGGGGTACCCCAGTGAATGAATGGTAAAGAACCAATTAATGAATACTCTGGACCCAGTGAATGAATGATTTATATTATGAGAGAGCATTGACAGGTTGAGAATTTTATCGACATTATGTCCAGTTTTTTTCAAAGTTTTTATTTTACGTTTTTATTGTTCGTTTCGGTTTTAGCCATCTTTAATAACTAGTTTAAATTAAGTTAAAATTAGCCTACAATTAACGTAAATCTAAACGATGTACGCACTGCGCCCTGCATGCATCGTCTGCGACCTAACCTCAAACGTTGGCGGGACGGCAAAAACATTGTCTTTTCATTTACTGGTATCGCGCCATGCCAAGTCGCATTATCCCAGTAAATGAATACATTCATTCACTATCGACTCTATATGAATTTTTGTGAAAAAGTGAAGCTAGTTTAACTAAAACTGATAGTATTTCAAACTTCAAGCATCAATAAAATAAAAATAATTTTTTGACATGGGTTAAAATTTCCTTTCATATTTTAATTTTAATCTTTTCTTGGTCATTCATTCATTGGGGGTCATTCATTCATTGGTGCCGTCACCCTACATTTTTTCAGATTTTTTGAAAACTTTTCAGATTTATCAGTGTCTAATCTTTTATAAATAAAATAAAACAAAACATTTTATAGATTGAAGTAGCATTATAAAAAATTTAAGAGTTAACGATAAAAAAGATGCAGTGGCAGATGCAGACCCAAAAAAGTCTTATTTTAAATCCTTTCAAAGCTGTTAAGCGCATGTACAAATCATGTATCAAAAATCAAAAAAATTTCTTGGTATCGTGTTCGACGAAAAGAAAAAATACAATTTCTTAGACTTTTGATGAAAATTTTTTTAACGACTTATTATTTTATACTCTATACATTTCCGGAAAAACCAAGTTGAGTATTTTAAATTAATTTTAATTAATTTATTAATTTCAATTGAGTTTTACTAATTTCGCTCGAAAGCTTTGTCTTTTCGCGTAGTAATTTAAATATTTGGTATTGTATATAAATCAATCTTGAAAGGACCTTCAAATTGGCTATTTAAAAGTTTTGATTGCTTCAAAATTGACGGATATAGAGCCGTTTGAATATTGCTGAAAATCCACAAAATCATCTATTTACTTGAATTGCGGTCAAAATGTGGCTTTCGACGAAAAACTCGGGATCAATTTTTTTAAAAAGTACTTTTTGAGACAAAAAAATTATTCCAAAACCCCGTCTTTGACGAGTCAAAACTCCTCCTTGTAAAATTTTTCTTTCGATGGTGGGATAAATTACATTTTTCTCCGAATTTCTTCTCGTACTTGTTGCATACGTAATTTTTGCACTGTTGCACTGTTATATTTTAATAAATTACTGAAGAATGATAAGAAAAGGACCCAAGTGATTAAAATATTTTTCAAACAATTTCTCTAGTAATAATAGCATCCAACCATTAGAAACTAAACTGAAAAAAATAAAAACACCGCATCACGAAAAAAGCTCTGCTTGACTCAAAAAAAGCATTCTCGAATTCTTGAATTTGAGCCAAGCCGAAAATCTTCCTTGCACGGAAAAAAGATGACAGCGTATCCGAGCAATGACTCGTCACTGGGCCTTCGCAAATTCGATGTGTGTATATGTGTGCGAGTATCGACAGTCTCGTGCCGCGAAACTCTACACTCTACATAAGACGTCCATTGCTGCTGGCTGCTCGCCGTATGCTTTGTGTACTGTGAGTGAAACAGGAATTTGAATAATTGAATTATCTTTTTTTTCTTTTCATTGATCGCCGCTAATTAATGCGGATTGACCCACAAGAGATCTACAATGATGAAGGTCATGCCTGCGATCGTGGCACAAAAAAAACTATCGAATTGTTAATGAATCGCTTGAATAAGTGTCGAGTCAGGAATATAAAATGAAGGCAAAAACAAGTCGCAGCTCAGTTGAGTTTCGGCGATTCACGAACGGAGACAGCATACACACGATATTAACCACGACGATGACGACCCTCGCGACGTCGTTTGTCGCGATCGTCGCGGTCCTCAACGGCATTATTTTACTCGGCTCGATTTCACCCGTCTCGGCCATTCGGAGTTTATCGTTCAAACGCGAGCTCGGCAAAGATTTCCTACTGTTCAGTCCGAGTGCCGTCAAAAATAGCACCGTCTATTACGGCGTGTGTGACGGGGACGGCAAGTACGAAGATAAAAGTCGACTAGATTGTGTGCTGTACCGCGTGAAGGGAGATTTCTCGGGTGACACGAAGGAAGACAAGTGCGACCTTACGATCCAGTGCGAGTTCCGCGGCATACTCATAACGGAATTGATTAAAATCGATCCGCTTGGCAGAGATCGAGCGATTGTGCGTTGGGTCGAGAGAGTAGGATGGAAGAAACCGTTCAAACATAGATTCCGACTCAGCATCGTCGACTTTTCTAATTGCAAAGTCACAACGACCAGTGCCTCGCAAGATCTCGACCGCTTGATGGAAGGACACATTATCGATGAACGCTCACGGTCGGAAGTTGTGAAAGGCATTGACAACGTCAATTTTAAATATGATGATCCGGCGCGGTTTGATTACAACTGGCCGATGTATCAGAAAGGAGAAGATGATTTTGAAATTGTGTCAATTCTCTACGGTGATGAGTTAGTCTCGAATGAATCGTCAATCGATTACGTGGAAGTTCTTACAGCATCGATCGGTGCCGACGGAGTTGTTGCAAAGGTCGACACGTTGCTCCCTCGCACTTTTCCCCCTCCCACTCTGCTTATTTATCCATTGTCGAAGGACCAAGGCTATTTGTATATAACTACGAGCGAATCCCCGGAAGATTTAAGATGTTGTAACAACATGACTGTGGCACTTATCCAGCCCGACGGTAATTGCTAAAGAAAAAAAACATGTGCTCTGATTTTCCCTACTTGAATTAATGTTAATGAGATAAATATTTTATGTTTTCAGGTCAAAGGCGTAATTTGACTAGCATCCAGAACGTTTTCCGCGTAGGTTACGCCTCGGTCTCGTTGGCCAACGGAATGATCGGCATATGCGTTCCGCAGAACTACACGACGACGCAATGCACGCAGTTCAGGCTCGACGACCAAGAGATCAAATGGTTTCCGGTCGGCCTCTATACAGAAAATCCATACTACATTTCTGGGAATAGACGAGACATCTACAACTTGCCCCGAGGCGAAGGATTTCTAACTAAAAACGCTCGCGACATTTTTAAACTTACTGACCCGTATCTGCTGAAAATAGGTCTGGATGGAAAAGTCAAACAATTATTATACCCCGAAATATACTGTAAGGGAGACGACTGGGAGCCGTTGAAAGATAATATTGAAGCCGCATTCAATAAAATTTTCGAAGACGATCGGGGTAATTATTGTCTTAGCACTACTTGCCTGCTATATGACTACGAAAGCTACAAAAGACAAAATCCTCATTATGTAAATCTACAATCGACGTGTTTCGAACCGAAAGATTTTGACTATGGTGTAAAGTATGAGCCGATCGCAAAATACGAGAATGGTTACCCAAGAAAAGGTGAAGAACTAGACGATGGCCTAATCAACTATGATCTTCTGATCAAGTATTGTAAAGATTGTGAATGATCATATTATTTACAATTCAGTTACCGATTTATCTGTTTACACATTTTTCTTACTTCATTTCAAAAAACTTTAAATTCTTATTTTTAATGAAACTGTTCGAAGAATACATGTGAGTTTTTTCAGATTGTTTGAAAATATTTTAGGTTTTTCAATGTCTGGTCCTTTATAAATAAAATATAACAAAACATTTTGTAGATTGAAGTAGCAAAATTAAAAAATTAAAAAGTTAACGATAACAAAAGATGCAGTGCCAGATGCAGATCCAAAAAAATCGTTAAAAAAGTTGTTAAGCGAATTAACAAATCATCTGTACTTTTCTACAAAGTTTCCTGTTATCCTGTCATTTCGTTTAAACTCCAAATAATAGACAATGGAAAGTAGCGACAAACACGAAACCACGAAAAGCAAAAATAAAATTTCTTCGACTTGTGATGAATATTTAATTATCGACTCTACAGTAATTTTTTTTTATTAATATTCTAATTTATTTTCAGTCTTTAAAAAAATATATGCTATATAATTTCCAAAAAATGACTATTTAAATTTTTATTAATTAATAATTAAAATTTGCTTATGTTGTATAATTGAGTTGAGCATTACGTCGGTATTTTTTATCTTGCAGCAATATAAAAACTCGATTATTCAAAAAGTACAGCTAAACTCGTCACTGACGAGGCCTGTGACATTCTGAAATAGCTATAGTGGCGCAGTAAGTTCAAAGTGTGTCTGCGCCGACTGCACACGCCGCCGCCGGCTCTATACGGTGTCTGTTCTCTTTAGCTCGTTCATTTCATTTTGGGAAGGCCTACGAGGAGGATAGCCGGCCATGTGGCGGCAGTGGTCTTGCAGTAGCTCGAATCGGTTAAACTCAATTTTACTTGAAATATAATTTTTTTTTTCAATCTTTTACGTTATTATTTACAAGGTAATTCCATTTAGAGTTATTTTAATATTTTTATTGCATTAATTTCCTTTTCGTCGACTTTTCGAGCTACTGAGGCCAACTTACAATTTGGATTGCACGAGGTAATTATGAATTTTCATAGACATATAGGTTATAGAACGGATTTTTCGTTATCCTCGAATATCTCTTCAAATCATAAAATTAGCTTCAATGATCCATGTTAAAATAATGTTTCAATAGTTTCTTTTTAAGTTACTTTCGATATTTTTTTATTTTCAAACTACTTAATCTCTATGAATAAACTTTTCAATGAACTTGTACATGATGACAAAAACACACCGTAGAATGAATAAAATGATTATTCTATTACATGCACTACCAGCTGACGAATTTTAAAACCAATAAAATATAAAATTCATACTAATTGGAATCAAAACTAATACTTTTGTATTTCGTATGTTACAGGTATACACTGGACGATTGAGGTGAGAACGTGAAGTCTTCATTACAATAACTTTTTTTTAATAATATTTATTGAATTGAATGTAAAAAAACTTATAAAACCATTTTTGATTTAAATAAAAGTGTTAAAATATAAATCATCATGTCTTTATTGCAGTGTCATTTCCTTATTCCCAATTATCAGGCAAATATCATAAAAATCTAGTTGAATTAAAAATTAACTGTTTCGTGATTAAAAAGATAAGTAACTTAATTAGACTCTAATATTATTTCATTTATAAGTAAAAAAAAATTACAATGAGTACCATATTGAAAAAAATAGCAATAATAATTGCAATGTTAACTTTTCAGATGTTAATCGTTGCTAGTAAAAATAAGCCAAATAAATTCATCATTTTTATCGAAGCGTGCAAGAAATACTTATGCAATTGAAAATCCTATTTTTAAAAATCATGGGAAGTAATTTTATTCTTCACCAGTTTAGTCGACAAGCATTTGCAACTCGCTTCATAATCGATCGAAATGTTTTAATCAAAAAAGCCATGTACATAATATCTATCAATAAATAATATCAATGAGCTGTTCGATAATTATATTACGAAAATTATTAAATAAATTTTCTATTTTTGTCATTAAACTAAATAATCATCAATCATCAATCGTCAATTCGTCGACATTCAGTTGGCAGGTCACACGTGCGTGTGTGTTTTAAAATAATGACGCGCGCATAGTCACGTATATTAACCTAAATCGACGACTATCGTACAGCACTCGTGGCTACCTTTTTTCCATTGCCGTAATGATTTCCGAGGTTTGACACATACGAGCGCGTCTCCTGTTCGCTAATGTGCCTATTGTTATAAAAAATAATTCCGTAAAAACGTTCTTTAACATTATTAAAATATTCTCTTAAAATTGCAGAATGAAATTCGTAAAGAAAAGAATTGTAGCTAATAACAAAATAAAATTGTATAAAAAGTATTTCAAATAATTGTTAATCCTCTCTAACTTTCTGTATGGGATAAAACTGAAAAAAAGGGAGAAAAAATTGTTAATTTCTATATGAGGGTGAATTCACCCTGAAAAATTTATTATTTTTTTTAGTTTTTCAGACAAACTCGTGTCAAAATCGTAAAAATTCTTTATATTAACTTTTTAGATGTTAACCCCAGAATTATGTGTCGCGATTAGATCTGCTTTAAAAAATTTAATTATCCTTGTCATTAGCTGCGAACAAAAAGATCCTATTAATACATTTTTTGTAGTTAAATACTGAACATAAAACACGTAAGTCGAGTGATGGTTGATGGAGTTCGACAACTACGCCATAGATTGGTCACGGTAAATTTTAGAGTAAATATTTAAATTTGTTATTATCTAAATTAGGATCTATTTACTCGATTTTTTTATGTGAACTCAATCTTGTTTGTCAGGGTTTTTTTTCAAATATTTAGTTTTAAAAGGAAAAAATTTCCTCGAAGAAATCTTCCCAAAATTAAAATTTAAAATGATTTCAAATGTTGTAAGAACAGTATATAACTTTATATTAATAGTAAACATTATGAGAATAAACAATTTCGACATTGTTCTTCGAGCACTAATCATGTTTACAGGGGAAATAAATTAGTTCGACTGTTGTTTTCCTCGAAGAAACAAGCCATAATACCAACAGATAAATTTTACTCAATTTATACTAAATGAAAGGATCCATCGGTTAATTGAAGCGCCAAAATGGACAAAAGCGAGAAAAAATTCGAAGAAATTATCTCAAATGATAATTCAAGTGAATACAACATTGTTGTTTCAGACGACAAAAAATATGTTGGTGACACTAGTCAGGAGGTATTTACACTAGAATCGAGCTTGATAACCCACCAAGCCAAAATTTACAATAAACAAATTGGTTATCTATGTGACCTGTGCAAGCAGAAATTTGTGAAAAGATCGATTTTATTTGCGCACCAAAAATTCGTACACAAAGATCGTGAAAATTTAACGTGCGAAAAGTGCGAGAAGAAATTAGAGTTCCGAAGCAATTTGAATAGACACCAATTATCAGAACACAAAAGCCCCAAAGATTTTGCATGTGACAGGTGTGAAAAGAAATTCGTGAAAAAAACGAGTTTGTTTAAGCATCAAAAATTAGTACACAAAGATCGACAAGATTTCTCATGTAACAAATGCGAGAGGAAATTTGAAAATAAATCAACTTTACTAAAGCACAAAAAAATATTTCACGAAGTTTTCAAAGATTACCTATGCGAAAAGTGTGCCAAGAGATTTGAAAATAAACGAAATTTGATCGAGCACATAAAGACAGTCCATGAGGGTCGCTATAATTACTTATGTGACAAGTGCGGTAAGGAATTTATAAAAAAATCACATTTACTCTCCCACCTAAAGACAGTCCACAAAGATTTCGCCTTCAAAGTCTTTGAAGATTACTCATGTGACACTTGTGCGAAGAAATTTAGATATGAAAATCAATTACTCCGCCATAAAAAAACAGTACATGAAGGTCGAAAAGATTATGCTTGTGACCAATGTGAAGTGAAATTTGAGTTTCGAAGTTATTTAAGTAGACACCGAAAAACAGTCCACGAAGGTCACAAAGATTACGCATGCGACAAGTGCGAGAAGAAATTTACACAAAAAGGAAATTTGTTAACTCACCTAAAGATAATCCATGAAGGTTGCAAAGATTACGCTTGTGACAAGTGCGAAAAAAAATTCGGAAGTAAGACATATTTGTTTTTGCATCAAAGGACGATACACGAAGGTCGCAAAGATTACGCATGCGATAAGTGTCAGAAGAAATTTGCACAAAAACAGCATTTGCTCTACCACCAAAGGATAGTCCACGAAGATTACACAGATTTCGCATGTCACAAGTGCGAGAAGAAATTCGGACTAAAGCAGCATTTGCTTCGACACCAACAAACAGTCCACGAAGGTCGCCATGATTTCGCATGTGACAGGTGTGAGAAGAAATTTTCACAAAAATGTCATTTGCTCACCCATTTAAAGACAATACACGATGGCCGTAAAGACTACGCGTGCGAAAAGTGCGAGAAAAAATTTGGACAAAAATCGAGTTTGCTTTTGCACCAAAGAACAGTCCACGAAGGTCGTAAAGATTTCGCGTGTGACAGGTGCGAGAAAAAATACCGACGAAAAATGCATTTGTTTAGACACCAAACAACAGTACATGAAGGTGACAAAAATTAAGCTTGTCAAATACGTTTAAATTATGATTCTAAATACGTGTAGATACGTATGCATATGTGTTTCTAAAATATTAATAAAAATTGTGCCAAAATTATTGAGTCTTACTGATATAAAATATCATTGATTACTAAAAGGCTAGTTATTTCTGACTAGAGAGACCTAGTGAATAATAACAATAAGTTTTTATCGAAAAAAAACCATAGTGGGGAGCATTTAAAAATTTAGTTTGAACAAAAAAATATTTTATACATTTCTTCAAAATTAGTAAGAAGCTCTCATAATTGTTTTTTTCCTTTTTTTAATGCTTTGATTTAAAATCTTTCATTAATATTTTAAAAACAAACAAATGTGTTTATAATGCCGAAAGACGCACTCCCCTGTGGCTCTTTTTGCCATGCATCGTACGATGCACGCATTGCATCGTATGGGCTATTTTACATCCCACCCGCTGAGAGAGCTGTTACTTTGCTGCTTTGTACTTACAGTCGAAGCGCACACAATTTGGCACGCAGGACTATATAAACCTCACCCCTGATTGTTGATGTAGCCCCGTGCACTTATGCTTGATTTTTCGTCCTTTGTATTTATGCCTATTTATAC